TCACCAGCTACTCCTCAGAAACCCTACAAAGAGTCACTATGAGACGGAGCCTACTCAAAGGCACTTAACAACAACAACAACAACAACAATCTACAGAAGCAGGCTGCCACATCTTTCTCCCACAAGCAGCTAGTGGGTTTGAAAAATTGGACTTTTGGTTAGCCACTGAGCACTTAACCACTGTATCACCAAGGTTCCTCTTTAAGAAAATGCAATGAATCATTTATTGCAATGACATAAATGAAATAAAGAATGAGCCCAACAATAATGGAGAAGTCTCCATTCTATTCTTATTGAATGCCTGCAATTTACTTTTAAATCCTTCAGCAAAAGGCAGTGTGTTATTATGCCCATATTGGATAGTTTAAGTTATACCCCAGGGCTGCCATTTTCTTCATTGGGGGTTCACATTCAGAAATGAATGGTTACCTGAGCGTCGTCTCAGAAAGGCCATACGCCAAGGACTTCAGCTGTCTTAATTATTAATCAACACTATAGGTTTTGCTAAGTGGCATAAGGAATGTTAGCTATGGGTTTTCACTGGTGAAATTAATGGTTTGTTCATTTACCATAATGTGAGTTGGATGTGGGTGCTTGTTGATAAAATCAGCAGTATTGATCAGCTAGGATATCTCAGAGATGTTTCTCAACTTTGCATGAATGGTGGTGGTGTTATTGGCTGCCACCGAGTCAGTTCTGACTCATCATGACACTATATATATAACAGAATAAACAGAAAGAACATAAAGAAAACAACAATCCTCACAACTGGACCAATAAACAACAACCTGATCAGTGAAGAAAATACTGAAGTTGTTGAGGATTTCATCTTACTTGGCTCCACAATCAATGACGATGGAAGCAGCAGACAAGAAATCGAAGGACTGCATTGAGCAAACCTACTGCGAAAGACTTTTCCCTGAACGTGTATAAGAATCTGTACGTCCACTAGTCTGTGTACTTAGAGATGGTGCTTGGGTCCAGTCATTAGGTTGAAAGATTCTGGGTGTTGGATGTCTGACCATGAGGCTGCCGAACTTGTCACCTGCATTGTATCGGAATCACCTTCAACAACCAAAAGCAGAACTTTCATCAAGTTTAAACAGATTGTACCGGCTATTAGATGCCTGCATGGTTGCAAATATTTGTGTGTTCATGTTTGCCTGAGCCTTGCTGTTACTGAGGTTGAGAGGAGGTAGGCAAATCTCTCCTGCCCCTAACCATTAATCACTGGTGGCTACTGTTGTATATTAAAGAGAGAGAGAGGGAGAGATTAAAACAAAACAAAACAAAAACCGCCTCAGAGTTATGCATGATCAAATTGGGTTGGGTCAGCAGCATTCTGCCAGGAAATATTCTGTACCCTTCTGTAAATCAAGTTGTAGGATTTAAAAAAGATCTTTGTCTACCATCAGTCTTGCCCTTCAGCAAGCCTATAGAATGAATCTTGCTAACTTGCCCCTGAATGGAGGTGTAGCCAAAGATCTGAGTCAGGGACAAGGTTAAAGATCAGTTTTACTTTAATCTTTTCTTTTTTATTCTATTTCATATCAGTATGGACTCATGGTGTGGTACTGCAGGATAATGCACTGGACCACAAGGTCGGTCTGAGCCACAAGGTCAGCACTTCAAACCCATCAACCGCTGTTCAGAAACGCTATACAGGGTGACTATGAGTCGGAACCAACTCGATGGCACCTAACAGCAACACCAACAGGAGCTATTAATACCCTCCAGTCTAGAATTTGTAGGTGACAGTCACTTAGGAATGCTGGCAGAGAAGTGATGTTACATAGGTCTTTCCTGGTGCTGGAATCCCTGGGTGGTGCAAACATTAGCCTAGCTGCAAGGTTGGAAATTCACAGCCAGCAGAGAGGCCTTTGAAGAAAGGTCTGGTAATCTACATTCCAAAAATCAGCCAATGAAACCCTGACCGGGGATGAAGAACAACTGAGAAAAGGAGAGTGAGAATGTTACACAACTTGAAAAGTAACTCAGGTCGCTGAAATGTACATGCAGAAATTGTTGAATTGGTATATGTTCTGCTGTATGTAAATTCAACAACAGCAACAATAAAATCAAGTATTTAAAAAACAAACTCCCCATGTAGCATGGTTCTATTCTGACGCACACGGGGTCACCATGAATCAGAGCTTCCTGATGTTTTGCTCCTGGTACTTGCTTCAGACAGCAGAGATTTTTCATGTAAGTATCTTGGTTGTTTGATGCAGCCTTTTAGTTTACTGTCCCCATTTCTTCCCTCCCAGCCCAATATCCTTGATGATCCTGCTACTTCTTCTGGTTTACAACTCGGTCTCCTGGTGATACCAAGGAAGATGAGGAGTGGCCACCTACCGGAAGTGACATCATGGTTAATCCCACTGATGGAAATGACCGCCCCTGCTAGGTTGTTGTAATTCTCATCAAGCACCATTCCCTTGATGCCCTGGTGAACCTGTAGGGAAAAGTTGATAATATATGTTGTTGTGATGAACATAGAATATTTGTACAGTGTTTTAGAGTCCTTAAGGCCCATGTGTTTCCACATTTATCTTCACAGAGATAATGGTAATAGTTCCTTCACTGATCTCTCTGCGTGCCTACCCCCTCCCATAATAGCATCTCAATAGGGAGGCCACAGTGATTGTGTTAAAACCTTAACCAAGTCATATCAGTCTTCTGCTTAAAACCCAACTCACTCAGAGCAAAAGCTGAGGTCCTTATGATGAGCTATAAAGCTCAAGTTCCAAATTACTCTCTGATTACATCTTCTATTCCCCCTTGTTGTTAGCTGCTGTTGCCTCACCTCCAACTCATGGCAACCCCATGCACTGCAGGATCAGACCACTGTAACAGAGGGATTTCATTGGCTGATTTGAGATTTTCATTGGCTGACTTTTTAGAAGTACATCGTTAGGACCTTTCTTCCTATCTTCATCTGGAAGCTCTGCTGAACCCTGTTCAGGATTACAGCAATATGAAAGCCTCTGCTGACAGACCAATGATGGCATTGGCTGGAATCAAACTGGGATTTCCCAATTGCTTTCACCCTGGCCTTCTTCCAGCCACGCCTATCTCCTGACCTTGAGTCCGCTGTTGTTCCCCTTGTCAGGAAAACTTTTTTCCCTAGATCTCTGAATCATCATTCATTCCCTCACCTCCTGAGCCTTTATTAAAGTGCCTTCTAGATGAGGCTTTCTCCCTAGCATTTCTCATTTTCTAACATACCACACTGCAGTGACTTGTGTGCTGTCGTGATGAAGGCTACCAGTATTTTCAATCCCAGCAGGATCACCAATGGTGGACAGGTGTCAGTGGAGCTTCCAGACTAAGACAGACTAGGAAGAAGGAGAGGCGGACCATTTCTGAATGGTTAACCACTGAAAACCGTATGAATAGCAGTAGATCATTGCCTTTGATAGTGCCAGAAGATGAGCCCCTCAGGTTGAAAAGCACTCAGAACAAGCCTGGGGAAGAGCTGCCTCCTCAAAGTGATGTACCTGGAACAAAGCGTTTAGGCCCTTCAGTTTTTTGATGGGGTACACATCAAAATGAGAAGAAACAGCTGCAAGCATCCCTTAATAATCAGCAGTGGAATGTACAAAGTATGAATCTAGGAAAACTGGAAGTCGTAAAAAATTAAATGGAACACATAAAGATAGATATACCAAGCATTAGTGAGCTGAAATAACAGGTATTGGCCATTTTGAATCAGACAATCACATGGTTTATTATGTGGGGAAAACAAACTGAAGAGGAATAGCATCTCATTCATCATCAAAAAGGGCATTTAAACCTCTGTTTTGAAGTAGAATGCTGTCTGTTCTAGGATAATGTCCATATGCCTACAAGGAAGACCCCTTAATACCACTATTATTCACGATTATGTGCCAATCCCTAAAGCTAATAGTGACGAATTGAAGAATTCTACCAATTTCTTCAGTCTGAAATTGATCAAAAATGAAATCAAGATGCATTGATAATTGCTGATGATTGGCCTTTGAAAGCTGGAAACAAAGAAGCAGGAAAATACAGCCTTGGTGATAGAAATGGTGCTGGAGATCACATGATAGAATTTGTAAGACTAATGACGTCTTCATTGGTAATACACCTTTTCCACAACATAAAAGGTGACTTTACACGTGGACCTCACTAGATGGAATGTCCAGGAATCAAATTGACTACATCTGTGGGAAGAGACGATGGAAAAGCTAAATACCATCAGTCAGAACAAGGCCAGGGGATGACTATGGAACAGACCACCAGTTGTTCATATGCAACTTCAGGCTGAAGCTGAAGAAAATTAAAACAAGTCCACAGGGGACAAAATATAACCTTGAGTATGTCCCACTTGAATTTAGAGAGCATCAGAAGAACAAATTTGATGCATTAGACGCCAATGATCGGAGACCAGAGGAGTTGTGGAATGACATCAGATATGATCATCTGAAAATGTTTACCTCACACAAATAGAATCCTAAAAATACAGAAGACAATGATATTTTTGACTAAGCAAATATACTACTCTCAGGGGAATGAGGTTCTCTTTGGACTCTGATGTTCTTCAGTCCTGGGAGGTTAGAGATAAATACTTTGGTTTCGCATCCTTTCTCCTACCTAAGAACACAACATTAATCTGAAACTGTGTGTCTCACCCTTGTAACATATCGTACACTGTCTGCATGCAGTCCTGTCCCTGGTGCCCTACAAATATTTGCTGAACTTATGAATGTCATTGGTGGAAGCAGCCCAGGTCTATTGAATGAAGGCAAAGTAAACGTCAGGCCTGAGCCATACAGAAACCTTGCCTGATGCTTGGCAAATATTTCTTTTCTGTAACCATGAACATTAAAAAGGAGATTTTACCTGTTCCAAGAATTGGATCAGAGCCTCTCGATTTCCTAGCCATTCACGCTGCAACTCTTCCTGCGGGGGGAACTTATTGCAGCTCAATTCCAGGGTGATCTCAAAGCAGTTGGTATGGAGATAATTAAAGTCTTGCATTCCTAGGGGAAAGTGACAGATTTGAATAACCAAGTTCTCGTCACAGTTTCTCCACTACCTCATCACCTTCTATTTTATTTCTCGACCTCTATTTTCCCTGGTTTACAAGTTCACATGACTTTCTCTGCTTCCATTTTTCTCTCTTCATGTTATTGTTACTCCTAGCAACCATGTATAGGGTTTCTGAGGCTGTAAATCTATATGGGAGCAGAAAGCCTCATCGTTCTCTTATGGAGCAGCTAATGGGCTTGAACCACCAACCTTGTGGTTCACAGTTCAACACTTATTCTATAGCGCCACACCAGCACTTATCTCTCAGCATAAATAAATGTCCACTTTATTGTCTTTATCCTCACCATTTCTTGCATTTCATGACTTAAACTCACTTCTTGTCCCTCTTATCGCTCCCAAAGTCTGTTTATTAGTTGTGCCTTAATATTAGATTAGCAGACATACTGCTCTCAGGGGAATGAGCTTCTCTTTGGACTCTGATGTTCTTCAGTCCTGGAAGGTTAGAGGTAAATACCTTGTTTTTGCATCCTTTCTCCTACCAAAAAACACAACATTAATCTGAAAATGTTTATCTCATACAAACAGAATCCTAAAAAGACAGAAGACAACTATATTTTTCCTCTACCAAATGCTTGCCTGCTCCTATCATCTATAATAATAGTATTTTTTATTGCGTATTTCAGAATAATGCGCTGGGTTGCACGGTCAGTTCGAACCACAAGGTCAGTGGTTCAAGCTCACCAGCAGCTCCTCAGAAACCCTATACTGGGTTGCTATAGGTCAAAACCGACTCTACAGCACTTAACAACAACAAAAGTGTCTCTGATTGTTTGAAGGGAGCTTATAGTGCAAACTCATTTGAGTTAAGAACTATCCATTTAATCATCGTATCTGCTCTTTAAGCTGGTGAGTACCAGCCGCTATTCCAGAAATAATAGGGGCAATAGAAGAGCAACTATGGCTTGTTACATTGGTTCACAAACCAGAATGAGAAAAATTACAGGTCAAAGCCCTGGAATGGAAGCCTCCAAAGAGCTGTAGTGAGCCCACTCACGGTCCTGGTGTGCAAGACTCGATTACTGCCAGGCCTGTGGGAACAGTGTACATTCAAAGCAACATGATTGGCTACCATATTTGAGCTGGGCACCATTGTCTCTGACTCTGCCTATAAAGAGATTTGGTTGCTATGCAATGTTCATGTTGCTCTTGTTTTATAGGAAGATGATTACATTTCTAGAAAGTACTGACCCATCATTTTTCCTGTCTGGTTATTGTTCTGGGACACCCACATTTTACAAAGTTGAGTCTGTTTCAGTTTTGCTTTATCTGTCATGATTAAGCCAGGAAAAGCCAATTTGAAGCTCTGCTTAACAGAACCTGCTTTCTGCTTCAGTCTCTCCCTATCCTTAGGTTCACCTGGGAGGGTTCATAACATAGATTCTTTCTAAAGTCTCAGTGATGGGGAAGGGACAAGAACAGAAAGAGCAGCCTCCAGACAGAGATTTCGGGTCTTTCAGGGTGGATTATCAATGGCCAGCATCTATGGTAAGCTCCTGCTTGTGGGGAGATGAGCAGGCAGGAAGGTTAAGGAGAGCACATGTCAGGGAAAGTGGTTAGCCCAGGCCAGCTTCTCTGCTCCTTTGTTGCTATGTGAGACACATCTCTATGCTAAAAGATTTCAAACAAACATTTACAAATCAAGTATTTCCAAACACATTTTTGTGTGTTTGTTTTATTTATAGTGACATCAAATTTATGAAGTGACTATGGTGTGGCACTGTAGGATAAGCACTGGACTGCTAACCACAAGGTTAGTGGTTCAAACCTACCAGCCGCTCCTTGGAAACCCTATGCAGGTTCTCTGTGCATCAGACAACAACATTATTACTCTTAATGTACAGATGAGGAAACCAAATCACAAAGAGGTTAAATTATTGGCCTTAAGCCATGTAGCTGATCAACAGACAAGCCAGGCTAGCCTTAGAACTGCTCACTCGTAACCACTTGGCTATGTGTTTTCTCCCCTATGTTCTAATCTACTATTGAAACCGCCAGTTTTAAAGGATCACAAGGTGCACCCTAAAATCAAACCAGGTGCTATCAAGTTGATTTTGACTCATGGCAACCCCATGTGGGTCAGAGTATGTGTTCCATATGGTTCTCAATAGTTGTGATCTTTTGGAAATCATAGAAAGCCTGGTCTTTCTTCCAAGGCACCAACCTTGTGGCTAGTAGCCACGTACTTAATTAATTGCACCACCCCGGAACTCTATTAAAAAGACACTAAATACCAACCTGGATTGCTCCCCTTTTCAGATCTCCATTTGAATGTTCAAGTCTATAGTATCCCTACCCTTTCCCTGAGAAAATAGCACTTCAAAGGGGAAATGAGCATGAATCAACTTCAGCTAATAGTACTTCCCTGGCCCTTCCTTACCCTTGCTGAGTGAATACCAGGAAGCCCCATTGGTGATGCCATCTGGGAAGTAATCCCCGCAGTTCCAACCCCGGAACATCCATCCATGTGCATAGGAGTAGACCTTGGCCAGCTGTAGCAAAAGCAGGTAGTGAGTCACCTTGAATGAGTCGTACCAAATTCTATGACAATGCTCAAATTTGACAAGAAATCTGCCAGGTATAAGCAACTCATTTGTTTTAATGGAAGAAAATACCAGCAGAAATAGAGAGGTGGAATATGTGTGCATGTGTAAGGATAGTGGACGAAAGTTAGGAGACTTAGATTCTATTGTTTCTACTTCCTTTTTAATCTGTGTTTTTTTTCATGAGAAGGGGGAAGTGAAAAGTAAAACACTGAAAACCAGTTTCTGACGAGTCACTTCTGAATCGCAGGGTTCGCATGTGTTTCAGAAACGAACTGCACTGTATAAGCGGTGTAGTGGTTACGAATC